GGTATGCGTGTTTGGACTGTGCACAGGTTAGGTAGGGGATGGCAGAGTCAAGAGCGGCTGAAAACACCCGAGTGGAGTTGGCCGCCATCAACGTAAGTTGGGCCGTCCCACAGGGGCTACTGCAGGGAATTGCCCTCTGGGTCTGAGTGTTCTATGGTTTTTCTAACCACCCTGGTAAAGTCGTCTCCCCTAAAAAGCATTCTTTCACTCTTCTTTCTCTTGAGATAGCCCACTTGGAAGTTCTACAGCTTCCTGCAGCAAACTGGTTCTCATGAATTGTGTAGGGCTTCGTAATCTCAGGCATGATTTCGGTGTCTGTGTCTCACTGCCACTCCATAAACCAAATTGTGGGCTTCCTCAAGGCAAGGACAAAGGCCGGAGCTCCTTTCTGAGCACCATGCCACCTGGTCCACGTGATTCCTCATTGCCAGCCACCTCTCTCCAGTCCTGCCACCTGCCCCCAGCTATCTTCACCTCCAGCTGTCTTGTCTCCCAGCTTCCGCCCTTGCCCTTTACTGCCTCCTATGGAGGGGTCAAGATGCAAGCCTGGTCAGATTTCTCCCCTGCAGAAAAGGCATCAGTGGCTTCCCCACTGACAAGCCCTCACCCCAGCCTCCAGGGCTCTTCGTGAGCAGGCTCTTGCCCACTCTCCAGCCCCGTTTTCTACTACTCATCTAGAGAGGCTTTCTGTTCTTGAACCTGCCACGTTCTCTCCCATATCTGCTGGGCTTCTTCCAGAAGCAGAGCTGCAGACGAGCAGTGAGTGCAGGTAGTTTATTTGGGGGTAGATTCTAAGACGCATCGGATACAGAGTGGGGAAGTGAGACAGGGAAGGGAAGGCAGCACTGCAGGGTACAAAATAGTTACTTCTGTGGGTAACTGGGGCTTGGTCCCCTGGGGACCTCTGGGAGACTGCAGAACACACCTCAGAGTTGACCCACCCCACGAGTGAAGGTGCTGGGGTGTTTATCTACAGATTCACTTCTCAGGGCTTGAGGGCTTCTCCTAGGGGCATTACCTCCCTGACCTTCTGGCTTCTGTCAGGGAATCACATGTGCTCATAATAGAAAGCCTCTGCATGTACAAGAATAGTGACAGCTGGGGAGACCTGGGGGAGAGGAACATTGGAAGCCTCTGCTGTATTCTAGAATGTTCTAGAAAGTTCTTTTACTAGGTCAAATCTTATCTTTCAGTTCTCAATGTAGCTTCCTCCAAGAGGTCTTTCCTCACCACTCCCCTGCATCTAAATTGCATCTCTCCCCATGACTATATTTTTCACTTATATTATAGCTATGCATTTAATGTCTATTTCCCTTCTAGGCTATATGTACCACGAGGGCAAGGTCCACGAACAGTTATCAACCCAACTAAGTACAGTGCATGGGCCAGAATTGCTTAATAAGTGTCTGTTGCATGAATGAATAATGACAGTTCTCTAAAATGAAAGCTGCATGACGACAGGCACCTTGTTCTTTTTTTGTTTATTGCTTTATCCCAAGTGCATAAAACAGTGCCCCCCACATAATAGGCATCAAATAAATATTTGTAGAAGGAATGGAGGAAGGGAGAGAGGGAGGAAGGGAAAACAAAACATAGTATCAAAACAAAAATTTTCTAACTTGTGACACCAGCCAAATTCAGCCTGCAGACATTTTTTGTTTGGCCCCTAGAGTAATTGAAAAAATGTGAACTTGTCGCCAGCGTTTAAAAATCAGGAGATTGTACAGACCAAAACAATCTAGATTTCCAACTCTTCTTGAAAAATTAGAAACTCTGGCAATCCTGCATTCCCAAGTGGCAGCAATCAGCAGGAGCTGAGCAGGGACTGCCACTCTCCGGGCGATCCAAGGCCCCCACCTGGCCTGTTTAACCCGTTTATGGCACCCGCCCAGCACCATTGGCACCTGAGTTTCAACATTCATCTTAGAATTACAGAACCACAGAAGGTCAGAGCTGGAAGGGCCTGGGAGACCATCATGCTCAATTTGTTTCCAGAGTACATGAGGAGAAACTGAGGCCCAGAGAGAGTAAAATCATCCACAAGAGAGTGAGAGTCAGACCTCAGGCTCACTTGCCTCCCCAGGTGGTCCCAGGATATACAGGAGGAACTGAAGTGAAAAGCCCTTGGAGCCCCAGGTGTCCTGTACCATCTTCATTAGTCTTCTAGAATTTTCCACTCCCTCCTCCAGCTCTCTCTTAAGTAAAGAATGAGTGTTTTTTATTTGCTAAATCTAGCAACCCTTAGATTCAAAATAACTATTGCTTCAACAAGATAGAATATTTCCCTTGCCTAACAGTCCAAGTGTAAGCAGTTTAAGCTGGTCAAGATGCTACCCAGCACCAGGGACCTTCTGTCTTATTCTCTGCCATCTCTGAAGCATTGCCCTCATTGCCAAGATAAAACGGCTCACTCCCATGTCTGTATTCCAGCCAGTGAGGAGGGAGAACAGGAAAAGGAAAGTTCACCCCGCTCTCTCTTATTTTTTTATTTTTTGTTCCTCTCTTTAAAGGCCAGACCCAGAAGTTGCACATATCACTTCTGCTCAATCTCATTGGCTGGAACTTGATCACATGGCCACATCTAGCTGCAAGGGAGTCTACAAGGCCATATCTAGCTGCAAGGGAGTCACCCCATTAAAATTTAGAGACTCTGTTATTCTGAGAGGGTGAAAGGAAGAATGCATATTGGAGGACAGCCAGCAGTTTCTAGCACAAAGAACCATGTATTAAGAAGAAGAACAATGAAAGAAAAATATTGAGGAAAAACAATTAGTTCTGTTTAAAAGGCATAAAGGACAACTTGTCTGGGCTACACCTATAAACTTGGAAGTCAGAGAAGTTCTAGAGGAACAGGAGTGTGAACCCCATTTTGCAGACAGTATCTGAGACACAGGGAGGTTATGTAGTCAAGGTTTTCATAATGAGTAAAATACATGGCCTTGACTTTTAACCCATGGCTTTCTCTTTGTGCTTTTCCACTAGGTGCAGCCATGTGGGGCTTATTATTAATAGATAATATCAATCAGGACTCTCAGTTTGAAGCACTGAGTGTTTAAGCTACAAAGAAAACTTATTGGATCACAAGAAATGAAAAATGCAGGGATATGTGGGATTCAGGTTGGGCTGGATCTAGGAGCTCAAGCAATATTCTCAGGGCTTGGTGTTTCTGCACCCCTCAGCCAACTTTCTTCATATAGTGACTCCCTCTCAGCAATCCCAACTAAAAAAAGACCTTCTACCTCCCAAATTCCTGCACAACTCCCAGGCATCAATCTCGCTGGCCCAAACTGGGTCAAATACTTATCCATACGCCAACCTCTGTGTCTTTGATTGTCCAGCCTAGATCAAGAGCCCACCATGCTGGCATAGAAAGAGAGGAAGAGCAGGTAAGCTCCATCCCAACCAAATGGAGCTAGTGGGGGAGGCATGGTCCCCCAAAGGAAACTGAGGTGCTCTTTCCAGAGGAGGGTGAGAACTGTGGAGGTCCAGAATTGGCTCTGAAGGTCAAAAACCCCTGTACATCCATGCCAAGGACCAGCAGTTCTTTGCTTGAGACCATTGTGTTGAGCACTGTACAGGAAGCAGAAATTACATCAATTGTTATCCCGGCCAAAGAGGCGACTCATGGTTTACTTAGGGAAATAAGACTAACAGAACAAAAATGCTTAAGGGATGATTCTAAACAGTGTTCGAGTTTTAAAACAGAAACTGGGCTCTCTTCCTGTTCCCAATCAGAGCATGTGCTGCTCGAGGCTGTCATCTCTCCACTTCCTTTCCATCTCTTCCTACCCAGTACTCAGAGCCAGAACATCCCTTTGGTAGCTGTACCTCCCTGCATCTTGTGGATCCATTAGAAGTTCCCTGGAGAGCTGGAGCAGCCAGCGATTGCCACCTCTTTCCTAACCACTCCTCCTCCCTCCCCGCCTTCCCGAAGTCCAACTCTATTTGTGTCAGCTGAAATTAGGCAAAT